GTTTGTCTATACTCTATACGCTCATAATGCTTTGCATAAGCAGAGACGCCCAAAAAAGGGTTTGCAGATTGCCCGACACAATGGTACGTCTTCTGTAGCTCGTTCGGTCCAGAATGCCTTCCATGTCCCTGTCAGACACATCAAGATTGACTCTCTCTTCTTGTACCACGTTTACTGTCGTTCCTTTATATCGCCTATCTTTCCCGTTCATTTAACTTTCTCTTTTGCATCATCGAAAAGACACACTTCCATCCCCTCATTTTCATAGAATCTAGCAGCAGACCTTCCCTTCTATGGTCACCTTCTTTCCAATCGCATACTAATCGACAATGGCAGAAGACATATCAGACGGCGCTGCAAGTGAATATGCGCCGATCCAAGGTGGTTCTCGTTCAGTCGCTACCTCATCGACCAATACTAGGCCCAATAGTCGGGGAGAGAAATACGACGAGCTGACTCCGGTAGCCACCCGACGAGCTTCCATCCCCCCGGATGAAGCTCGTTACCTCACTCAGCTAGCCAGCCGTGACAATGCAGTCTCCAGGGTCAGCACTGTGGCCGATATCTCACTCGATGATCCGGCTTTGAACCCGGAAAATAAAGACTTTGATCTGTACAAATGGTTACGAAAGGTCGTCCATGTGCTCAATGAAGAAGGAGTTCCTCGTAAAGAAGCCAGCATATTTTTCCAACATCTTCGCGTCTCCGGCACTGGAGCGGCCTTGCAATTGCAGAAGACAGTTGCAGACATTATAACCGCTCCCTTTCGGCGGGAGACTTGGAACTTCCGGAACAAAACCTCCAAGACCATTCTGCATGACTTCAACGGCGTGTTGCACAGCGGGGAGTTGCTGATTGTGCTGGGTCGACCCGGCTCAGGGTGCAGCACTTTTCTCAAGACTCTCAGTGGGGAACTACATGGCTTGAACGTTGACGAGAAGACCGTCCTTCACTACAGCGGAATTCCGCAATCTACGATGATCAAAGAGTTCAAAGGCGAAGTCGTCTACAACCAGGAAGTCGACAAGCATTTCCCTCATTTGACTGTCGGCCAGACTCTGGAATTTGCGGCAGCGGTGCGCACTCCGTCTAAGAGACTGGGCGGTATGTCCAGGAACGGGTACGCTCAGATGATGACCAAAGTCGTCATGGCTGTCTTCGGCCTTAGCCACACCTACAACACTAAGGTTGGAAACGACACGGTTCGAGGAGTGTCGGGTGGTGAGCGCAAGCGAGTCAGTATTGCGGAAATGGCTCTGGCAGGCGCTCCGCTGGCAGCCTGGGATAATTCCACCCGAGGCTTGGATTCGGCAACCGCGTTGAAGTTCGTCGAATCCTTGCGATTAGCTGCAGACTTGAACTCGTCCGCACACGCTGTGGCGATATACCAAGCCAGCCAGGCCATTTATGATCTCTTTGACAAAGCTGTGGTGCTGTACGAGGGACGCCAGATTTATTTCGGCCCGGCCAGCAAGGCAAAGGCGTTCTTCGAACGGCAAGGATGGTTCTGTCCCCCACGTCAGACGACCGGAGATTTCCTCACATCGGTGACCAACCCGATTGAAAGACAAGCTCGGCCCGGTATGGAGTCCCAGGTGCCCCGAACCGCGGCTGAGTTCGAAGCATATTGGCAGGAGTCGGAAGAATACAAAGAGCTTCAGCGGGAGATGGCTGCTTTCCAAGGAGAAACGTCTTCGCAGGGCAATGAGAAACTCCTCGAATTTCAGCAGCGCAAGCGCCTGGCGCAGGCATCCCATACTCGGCCCAAGTCTCCGTATCTCCTCAGCATTCCCATGCAGATCAAGCTCAACACCAAGCGTGCATATCAACGAGTGTGGAATGAACGGACTTCCACTATGACTACATTCATTGGCAATACCATTCTCGCCTTGATCGTGGGTTCTGTCTTCTACGGAACTCCCACAGCCACCGCGGGGTTTTACGCCAAGGGTGCGACCCTTTTCTACGCCGTGCTGCTTAATGCCCTTACCGCAATGACCGAGATCAATAGCTTATATTCCCAGCGACCAATCGTCGAGAAACATGCATCTTTTGCCTTCTATCATCCCGCCACCGAGGCCATTGCAGGGGTTGTCAGTGATATCCCGGTCAAGTTCCTCATGGCAGTAGCGTTCAACATCATTCTCTATTTCCTGAGTGGTCTACGTCGCGAACCGTCTCAATTCTTCATTTATTTCCTCATTACGTTCATCATCATGTTCGTCATGAGTGCTGTCTTCCGGACCATGGCCGCAATCACCAGGACTGTTTCCCAGGCCATGACACTGGCCGGTGTCCTGATTTTGATGCTAGTAATCTACACCGGATTCGTTGTTCCAGTAAATTATATGCACCCATGGTTCAAGTGGATTCACTATCTGAATCCTATTTTTTATGCCTTTGAGATCCTGATAGCCAATGAGTTTCATGGGCGGGAGTTTACCTGTTCACAGTTTATCCCTGCCTATCCCAATCTACCCGGCGACTCCTTCGTCTGCTCGGCAAGAGGTGCTGTTGCTGGTCGTCGAACTGTTAGTGGGGATGCATACATCGAAGCGTCATACAGCTACAGCTATTCGCATGTCTGGAGAAACTTTGGTATTCTGATAGCATTCTTGGTTGGCTTCATGGTCATCTACTTCACCGCAACCGAACTGAATTCTGCCACGACCAGTTCAGCGGAGGTTCTTGTCTTCCGTCGCGGCCATGAGCCTGCCCACTTGAAAAATGGACATGAGCCTGGTGCGGATGAAGAGGCCGGCGCTGGCAAGACGGTGGTTTCTTCCTCCGCTGAAGAAAACAAGCAAGACCAAGGTATTACGTCGATTCCTCCTCAGCAGGATATCTTCACCTGGCGCGATGTGGTGTACGATATCGAGATCAAAGGTGAGCCTCGTCGGCTGCTTGATCACGTATCAGGCTGGGTCAAGCCGGGTACATTGACGGCCCTAATGGGTGTCAGTGGTGCGGGAAAGACCACGCTGCTTGACGTGTTGGCACACCGTACAACCATGGGCGTTATTACTGGAGACATGTTCGTCAATGGTAAACCGCTGGATTCAAGCTTCCAAAGGAAAACGGGTTACGTGCAGCAGCAGGATTTGCATCTTGAGACAGCCACGGTGCGTGAGAGTCTGCGCTTTAGCGCGATGCTGCGCCAGCCAGCTTCTGTATCCAAGGAGGAGAAATACGCGTACGTGGAAGAGGTCATCAAGATGCTCAACATGGAGGACTTTGCTGAGGCAGTGGTCGGTGTGCCTGGCGAGGGTTTGAATGTTGAGCAACGCAAGCTGTTGACCATTGGTGTGGAACTGGCGGCTAAGCCGAAACTGTTACTGTTCTTGGATGAACCAACCAGGTAAGACAATTTTGCTCGGATTTCTGCTTGTGCTAATTGGTGTAGCGGTCTCGATTCTCAGAGCTCTTGGGCTATCTGCAACTTCCTCCGCAAGCTGGCTGACGCAGGACAAGCCATTCTGTGCACCATTCACCAGCCTAGTGCCATCCTGTTCGAGCAATTTGACCAGCTGCTCTTCTTGGCTCGAGGTGGCAAGACAGTGTATTTTGGCCCAATTGGAGAGAATTCGCAGACGCTCCTCGACTATTTCGAGTCGCATGGGGCTCGCCGCTGTGGTGATCAAGAGAACCCAGCCGAATATATGCTTGAAGTTGTCAACGCTGGCACCAACCCTCGAGGCGAGAACTGGTTCGACCTGTGGAAGGCAAGCAAAGAAGCTGCCGGGGTTCAGACCGAAATCGACCGCATCCACGAGGCCAAGCGAGGCGAAGCTGAAAGTAACGATAGTACCAATCCCAAAGACCGCGAGCACGAGGAATTCGCCATGCCGTTCTTCAAGCAATTGCCCATTGTCACCGTGCGAGTTTTCCAGCAATACTGGAGACTCCCCATGTACATTGTGGCCAAGATGATGCTTGGCATATGCGCGGGTCTGTTCATCGGTTTCTCATTTTTCAAGGCGGATACTTCCCTGCAGGGCATGCAGAATGTCATCTTCTCCGTGTTTATGCTGTGTGCCATCTTCTCCTCGCTTGTCCAGCAGATTATCCCATTGTTCATCACGCAGCGTGCTCTCTATGAGGTCCGCGAGCGGCCCAGCAAGACGTATTCCTGGAAAGCGTTTATGATTGCGAACATCATCGTCGAGATTCCCTATCAGATCCTGATGGGAATTCTCGTGTTCGGCTGCTACTACTACGCAGTGAATGGCGTGCAATCCTCTGCCCGGCAAGGGCTGGTCCTGTTGTTCTGCGTACAATTTTTCATCTACGCGAGCACCTTCGCTGATTTTGTGATTGCCGCTTTACCGGACGCCGAAACGGCAGGTGCCATTGTGACCCTCCTGTTCTCCATGGCTCTGACGTTCAACGGTGTCATGCAGACACCCGAAGCACTGCCTGGATTCTGGATCTTCATGTACCGCGTCTCGCCGTTCACCTACTGGGTGGGCGGAATGGCCGCCACGCAGCTGCACGGCCGCGCAGTGAAGTGCAGCGCAGCCGAAACAGCCGTCTTCAATCCTCCATCGGGGCAGACATGCCAGGAATACATGGCAGACTACATGGCCGTGGCACCGGGGCACCTCAGCAACCCCAGCGCGACGTCTTCGTGCGAATTCTGCTCACTCTCCGTCGCCGACCAGTACCTGGCGAGCGTCAACATCTACTGGAGCGAGCGGTGGCGCAACTTCGGGATCTTCTGGGCGTACGTCGCATTCGACATCGCCGTGGCAGTGATGCTCTACTACTGTTTCCGGGTGAAGAAGTGGAACTTTTCATTCGGCAAGCGCAAGAAGAGCAAGACTGCTTAACTGTTCATCAAGCCACATGTACACACCCACTATCACTATCCCTATACATAGAAATCCACACCTTTCCTTCCGTTTAATCAACACTCTTCCCCCCCCTGTACAACCCTGAACCCCACCCACCCGGTAAACGGATAACAAACCTCCCACCCACCGCGAATAACATCGGGATTATCACTCCCACACTCCGCATCACTATACATACACAAATCATACCGATCCGCCCCGGCGCTCGGGCTCTTCCACGAAACACTCTTCACACTCGTCGTGTTGTAGAGTCTCGTATCGAGAGCCTCGCAGTCTCGCCCGTAGAGCCCCGACCGGTGGAAAACCGAGATGTCGATATTCGACACGTTGGGGTTACATCCCGGGCCGAGGAGGCGGAAGTCCCACTTTCCAGTTCGTTAGCATGTAATCCATGCCATTCAAAAAAAAGGGAGAGAGAAACTTACGTTGCGGGGTGCGAGGATCTCGCGGGTCTCGAGGGCGGATGTTGTTGAGAGCACGAGGGTTAGGGCGACGGTGAGGAGGGGTGGTAGATACATTGTTGTCGGTCTCGTATTGCTATTTACTGAAGGTACTCTGATGTTGAAGCGGATGAGGACGGGAGGCGGAGATGGGGTGGTGAAAGGACGACGGAAGAGAAGTTTGAGGAGTAGTCTAGTGATCCCTGAGCTAGCCATATAGCAGGGGTGTTAGTCGCGACTCGCGAGTATGCCCATACGACTTCTCCACTGGTCGATTGGTATAGGTCTAATATTAGATCCGAATCTGCAGAGGCCCGCTGGTCAGGAACATGGCGAATGGTGCGACATGAGTTTGTTGCAGATTGTTGGCGGCGGATGTGATTGGCGATGTACAGGGATCCTGTGCGTTGGCAAACCTTCCGGAGTATGTCTCTGTGGAGGTAGATATGGAGCATACCGGCTGTATGGCCAACTTGTATTTTGTCTAACGCAGAGGTCTGATGAGCCATGACTCTCAAGCAAGCTATCTAATATACATGATATGGACGCAGTATAATGGTTGAACATGTCATTTCATAACCTGGCATCTACTACCGATCTCCATTGCTCAATCTCCATGCCCTTAGTGGCAGACTCTGGAGCTTCAGGACCGCAGGCTGGATAAACATGATAAAGGTGACTGTTCCAATCAACACACACAGGATATTGGTGATGTAGTAGCCGTCGCGATTGGTTTCGCACACTCCACCGCCGTTGACGCAGCGGTTCTTGTCAGGCTCCAAGGCGCAAGAGAACGCAGATGTGATCAAATCGCCCTTCAGCTTCTCCGCTGCAGGCGGGATGGCTGGGGGAATACAGGTGGCCACGGTGAAAAAGTCAACGAGTTTGAGGATGAAGTACCGAGGGAATGTACCACCAAGATTGGAGACGCTAGGTCGGTCAGTATACAACAGTAAATATAAGCAAAGGGAACTTACGTTGCCAACATGGTCATGTACGTTCCTCCAATGGCGGGATCGGCAATGCGAGCATGGAAAGCAGATACTGCAACGAACATGACTGTGTTCATGAATGTCGAAAATACGTGCTCCCCAATCACAACCAAAATGTACCAGAAAGGAACGGCCTCGCTGGCCGGGTAGATCATAACGGTAGCTTGAGCCAGGACGGCTGCAGCCAGTCGTCCAATAAACGCCCAGCACCACAGCCGCATGGGAGTATATTCTGTCGACCATTTTCCAGCATAGTAGCCAAGACCAATCTCAAAAGGAAAGTCGATCAGGACGACAAGCGCCATGTTGTCCGTGCCGAATCCCTTGTCCAACAGCTTCAAGCTGGTGACAGCATCATTGGCCTGGAAACCAATCTTGGCGATAAGATGAATAGCAATGATGGTTTGGATGTTCTTGAGTTTCAGGATGTTCCACATGCTCTTGTAGACATCGGTGATGCTGTCCCGCTCCCTTGTCTTGTCTTCTTTCTTCATGACAGCCAAGCAGATCGTGACAAATAGATAAGCCCAACCCCAGAATTTCAGATATCCGCCCAAAGACAGCAGGCCATCCTCGCCGGGAACCGTTCTAAACCAGCGGTTCGCGAAATCCTTGGAGTTGAATGCCAGAAAGACTGTATACGACAGAAAGTGCCCGGCTGTAAGGCCAACGGTCTGCGCGGTCGAGGCGTAAGAGATGTTCGGAGGTGACATGAGCGTAATGGCCCAGCCGTCCACCGCAATATCCTGGGTGGCGCAGAAAAAGACGAGCAGGAACCACCAATACGTAAAATTCCAGACGCCAGCACCACCATTGGCACCGGCCTTTACCATCATCTCCTCAATGTGTCCACCCAGATAGATCATCGCCAGGCCCGCAATGACCTGGACAGGTGTGATCCAGCTCTTCCGTCTCCCGAACCTCTGACTCCATACTGCATCGACAATCGGACTCCAGAGAAGCTTCAAGGAATAAGGGTAAGACGCTAACGAGAAAACGCCGATCTGACCGTAGGAAAGGTATGGTTTGAGCAGGAACGGAACAGATCCTGTGGCCAACCCCATAGGGATTCCCTGCAGGAAATATAGAACACACAATAGCAAAAAGTTCCTTCGGTCGGAGGAAGGCAAGTTGGCAAAACTAGTCGTTGCCATAGCTGGAGTCTGCGGAGTAATCGGGGGGTCATCGTTCAAGGAGAAGCTCTGCCGGGCCATCAAGCGCGAGGCCTGCCCACCCGATGATTCGAGGGAGGTATCCCTCTTGCGCATTTCGATATTGGAATTCATCTCGCCGCCAGCAGAGCCGTTCTGCGTGCCGGTCGCGAGGGTCAAGCTCGGTTTGGAGCGACGTTTTGAAACTGTGCGACTCTTGTTCTTCATCTGTGTACTGCTTCGTCCGCGGTGATGCTCAAGAAGTCGCGTGCCCGCCGTGTCGTCCTCACTGTCCGAGTCGAATTCGAAATCTGAGGGTGCAGGAAACAAAGTTTCGGGCTGATGAGGGACGTCTGTGTTGATTTCGCCTCTGTGATTGCTGCGATTATTGCTGTTGCATGCTAGTTGGTCAAGTTCTACCTCGTCGGGTTGGTGAGCTGCAGAAGGAGAGTGCTGAGAGGTGGCTCGAACATGAAGGGAGGAAGGAGTGGAAGGGTCAGGATGACAGGAATGAGAGACAGGGTCAAGGTTAGGATAATGCATCCATCTAGTCCGTAATGCGGCGGTGGAAAGTGGAGGAGAAGGTGCTAGGGTCCAATCTGGAAGCTTGAAAGAAATCCGACTGAGGCAAGCTGGCCTCAAGGGACCTTCTGGAGATCGTTCGGGCGAAGCTTATCTTAGTGTCGGCGACTCGGGGGGCGGCTAATAATAGTCCAGGGACTGAGGGATCGTGGAAGAGGCTATATCATCTCTTTTCTTCGCGTCTTTTGCAGTCTAACTGTAGGTACAGCTGATCTACATGGGGGTTACAGGGATGTCTGTGTCACTACTGACTTTCCATCCACCGTTGGCTCGAGTCTTTTGCCAGTGAAACAATACAGAATGACACGGCTCAAATATGGTTCCAGATCGTCATAGCTCGTTTAAAGATCAGCTCTGGTACACACTGCAAGTGCGCATGATTCTTCATACTTTAGAAGCTAGGCTATTCTATATGCACTGATGCCATATGTGCTGGCTGACATGAATCCCTTGCCTATCGTATGCCCGAGATCTCGGTCCTGTTGCTATCGTGGCATCGCCATGTCAACTATGCGCCTGTAATTAAGAATGAAAAATGCATAGGCACGGTGAGCGGAGGAACAAGAGCTTGAGACTACTCTGTATTTCATCGCTATTTCTTGGGACGAAACTGGATCTTCGTCGTAGTTAGTCTGCATGGATTCGTTGACACGTGACGCCGTAGCAACACAAACAAACATGACAATGGTAAAGTGCTTCTCCGCACCATCATATCCGCACCATCATATCTACATGAGAGATCAGATCGCCTGTATACTCCAAACCGCAGTAATGGAATCACCGGACAGTCTTAAACAGGTGGTAGAGCAGTTAGACTCTGAGATATCCTCCATCCGGCGCGAAAGTGAGTTCTACAAACCACCCATAATCACGCCACGCTAACCACATACCAGTCCGCAATCTCCAACGACGGCGTCGACTCCTAAGCTCCAGCCTTCTTTCGTCGGATAACTTTCAAAAACGACTGAAGGCGCGCCAAGCAGCAGCGGCGCCTACACCCACCTCATCCCTAACCGACGAAGTCTCCCCCCTCGTCCAAGCCGCCGATAAACACGCCGAACTGAACCATCACCGCGTCGCGTTCTCAGCAACCACCTTCCCCTTCAAAGATCCTTCTCCGCATTCGGACCATCCAAATCTACTAGGTGTGCGCATTGATATCTGCTGTCGAAATGGCCGCTTCACGAAACCGTACTACGTGCTTCTGAGACGGGCCGGCACGGGCGACGAGAAGAGGCTGCGGGTGCACCGACACACAATCCCTGCATTTATTCCTATCGAGAAACTGGAGCGCGTCTATCTGCCTTTACCGCCGACGCAGGAGTCCACTGAAGAGGATGCACCCCTCAAGCCGGGGAAGGGTCGGGTGCGGAAGCAGGACCTGCGGGGTCTAGTTCGCGAGTTGAGGCGACAGCTTGTTGCGTGGCATTTACGAGTCGATGCGGTTAACATGCTGAAGGAAGACCTGGGCGGAGTCCAAGATGAGAGTGTGGGTGGCGGTATAGACGAGAGTCGGTTGGAGCCAAATGACTTGGGGATTGTCTCTGTTTCCCCGACGACTCTCGAGGCGACATATGTTCGTCTGGAATGGGAGGATGGACGGGTGGGACGCTTCAAGCTTTCTGACACGGGGTTCATTGAGCGCGCGGTCATTATCGGCGACCGCGGGAGAGACAAGAGGCTGGAAGCTGTGTTTATTGGGGGTGATGGACGAGTGGAAACGCTCCTGGACAGGTTACGGCAGCATGCTATATTCACATCAGGCGAATGAATTACAACGCTAATCTAAGGGCAGAAGAAATTCGCTCCATGTGGGCATTGACTCTGGTGGCAAAGATCTATATTATGCATTGAGTTCCACCTCTCTCGAGGTATAAGCGGCACATCAAGCTGATCTATCGAATATACAGAAAAACTGATTCCAATCAATGCTATGCACAAGTAACAGGCCCCCACGCGTATATATGATGCTCGCCTGTCCAACAATGAAAAGTGAAATGAAGTAAGCTCTAGGAGGATGTCAACAAAATAATTACAAGAAAAGTATCAACCATAACTGGATGGTGAAAATAAACATTATCTCCGTCAGTGCAATAGAAAGCGGATAGCTGCAACGTATATGGAAGTGAGATGATTCGAGAAGAAAGAAAGGGTATCACTTTGAGGCATCACGTCATAAATTAATGCACTGGTTCACTTTCCTCACCTTCCTTCGGGTGCGTCTGTTCATCACCGCTCATGTTCGTACTGTTTTCCGAGACACAAATTGCCGAGTCCCGCGTCTCGTAATGCGAATCGGAGAATGAGAGTGGGGGTAGAGGACCGTACGGGTGTCCGTGTTGTAGTTCTAGTTTCTTGCGCAGAATGGCTTCTTCTAGGTTCCAGCGATGGCGCAGCTTCGTCTTCTTCGTCTCGAATGCGTGCATTGCCAGCGCCTCTTCCTGCTGGTGCTGTCGTTGTAGTTCAGCGAATTCCAATGCATGCTTGTCTATGAGCGCGTCCAGCTCCCTCTCCATTCGCGCGATGGCCTCCTGTAGTCGGATTTCTTGTCGGTCTCGGAGGACCTTGATCTTGGCCGAGTGTAATCGGTCCATGCATTCGTGGTCATGGTATTCCTGCGCCAGCAAGGACTTTTGCTGATTGGTGTACTGGCGGACCGGAGTTGTCTGGTCGGATCCGGAGTTTGACTCGGAATCCGATATTGGTGGGGGATGGGCGTTGTTGAAGTATCCTTCCATATACTTGATGCGAGTACGGGAGTTCTGCTTCTCCCTCTCAAATTCACGCAGCTGATCCATCTCGACTGCAAGCTGCCGTTCCTCCATACGAGCGGCGTCGGCCTCGTTCTGCAAAGTCGTTAGCCTGTCTGCAATATCGGCCTTGGATTTCGCGAAATCACCTTCGCTCGCTTCTGCTCCTCCAGGGCTTTATTCTCCGAAAGCCTGTCAGCCACAGCAACTTGCTGGTTGCGTCTGAGCTGCATCAGGAAACTGTCTTGGAAGGCGGCATGGCGATCTCTTTCCGACTTGTGCAATTCGCGCAGCTGGGCTAACTCCTCATTCTCAAGGCTCCTTTGCAGCGTTTCCTTATCGTAAATCGGTATTTCAACTTTCAAGGCCTGGCTCTCTTCGTCTGAACTTGGGTTCTGCGACTCGCTCCGCCTCGACTCCACGTAGATCCTATCCACACCCCCTTGCCCTCTAGCAACGGTAATCTGAGCTGCGGGTGGAAGGAGGACCGTCGAGGACGTTCTCTTCTTCCTGAAATGAATCCTGCCAATGGCAGACTTTAAGCTCGATTTCCGCTTCTCTTTCTTGTCGGTCGAAGATAGGCTCAATAGCGAGTTTCTATGACCTGGCTGCCCCGCAAAGATCCCGTCTAAACCAGTAACCAGTCTTCCTTCACTCGAGCAAAGTGACGTGGGGCGCGTGGAGAGCGATGCAATCGATCGGGGGCTGCCGCATTTCATGGGGTCGGAGGAGACGGTTAGTTCCGAAAGAGACGAGGCAACCTGGTCCAACCGAGGATTTTCGAAAGAATGTGTTACCTCGCATATCGAGTTGCGGTCTGTCGAGGAACTGGCAGACAAGACAGGGGAGGATAGATCTATGATTCCCGAGGCGATTGAGGCGGCCACCGATGCGGTAACCTCGACTTCTGGAACTTTTAATCCCAGTTCATGTGCTTCGTCAACTAGTTGTTTATCCCGAGCAATCTCGACCTCTTCGGATGGAAGCAGAAGAACCTCATTGCGGTACTGCGCTTCATCGATGCTGACCGATTTTGACGGCTCCATAATGCGATCACTTTTGGTGTATTCGAGTACACAGAACTCAGAACATAACTCTAAACTCTTTTTTCCTTACCGACCAGAGTTCAAGGACGCACAGCGGAAGATACCAATTCACTCGTCCACAGTACCAGAAGCACGGTGGACGAGATGGAAGCGCTCAAGAGCAGCATCCGACTTGCGGGGTGGGCTTCATATGGAGCAAGCAAGAACGGTCGGAAGAAAAGGAAAGATAAAAAGGCACTAAAATCGCGAAATGGGCAGCGATGGACACGGAGCAAGACAGAAGGAAATGAACAACTCAAGCCGATTCGGGCCTCAGGCTTGCATTGCACATGAGACCCACGAGGACCGTCTGACCGAATGAATCATCAACTATTGTTACACCACGATACGCAGGGCCGGAAGAAGATCGCCTGTTCTTCTACTAGGGTCACCGATACATTGGTAATCTTAATACGCCTGCTAAGGCTCAGGCTCATGCTGCCTGACTTTGGAGGCACAAAGCATGCCAAAATAGGCATCTAGGGCTTAGGGCGAAGGTGAGACCGGTACGGTCCGCGCTAAGAAACCCGTGGTTTCAGCCACGCTGTATCACCATTCCTTTGGATCAGGAACCGGCGGCTTCAGAATTATGACCCACTTTCGGTCGATGGGTTGGTTTCAAGAATTTGAACATTTGTTCCTAAAGTGAGACAGTTGGCCCCTCTTAACATGATCTACTGTTGTACAATTGATTGGAATTTCTCGGTACTATCATAGGGATCAGCAGGGGGGAATTACTGATATATGGTAAGGGCAGAGTCTGAGCGATCAGCTATCTACTCAATGTTCTTGACTTTCAAATTCCAACTCTTGCAAGTCCGCATGTGGCCAAGAGCATCACTAAAAGGGGGAGGCAAATAAACTGTGGATCACACCACGTGGAAGACCATTAACCGGGCCACTTAGCGCATCAACATTGCAACGGCCATGGTGTAGGCTTTTTCTTTGGCATCACCTTGGATGGTTCCCGGACGAGCACTTTTGTCCCAGGCATGATTGCAACCTTGCATTCTCTGGCACACAACCTGGCGACCAGGCAGTTTGGCTATCTTTGCAGCGAGGGCTTCAGCTTCACCGGCCAGGCTGTCGCCAGCCGCTGTCACAACAAGAACGCGATCTGGAAACCTCTCAGGCTGCGCATAGCATGGTGAGATACGTGGGTCTCTGGCATCGTACGCAGAAGGGACGTAGGACTTGTCGAACAACCGACTCAAAGGTGCAGGAATGGGCTTCCCTGCCGGATCCGGCGGGCGTTTGGCTCCCGGGTCTGTGTACAAATCGAGTGGTGGGTAGAATGCGAGGACAGATCGAAATGTCTCTCGTGGGAAGAGCACCGAAGCTGCCACGATCGCGAGATTCCCTCCTGCGCTGAACCCGGAGATAGCCACTCGAGTCAAATCGAACTTGTCTGGCTGTTGCAGGACCCAGTTGACCGCATCCTCCACGTCGTTAAGCGCCGCTGGAAATGGATGTTCTGGCGCCAGTCGGTATTGGAGGTCCAACACTGTATATTCTGTCTCTCGACTTACTCGTCGACAGAATTCGTCATCGCTTCCGTGAAGCGGTAACAAGAACCCACTCCCGTGGAAGTTGATGAGGACAGGCGATGGCGACAACGCAGTTGCTGGCCGATAGAGGTGAGCCCTCAAGTGTCTGCCCGCGTCTCGTGACGTTATCTGAAGGACATCATCTGGATTTACAGAGATGCGCTTGCCAAGTGTGACAACAGCTCTGATGAGCACCGCCAATAATTTGCGGTAGATGTATATTAGGTAAGACATTAATCAATGAAGATAAAAAGCCTGGCAAGGGCAACGACGGGAAGGTCAATTACGTTCTCGATAGGGACATCGATGAAAGTTCCGGACTTGAACTCTTCACGTTAACTGATGGCCGACAACGGAGGGAGGAGAATATGGGTTCGGGAAGAGGACGCCTCTTTACCTCTGCCATATGCTTGAATGTGGTGCTGCAGAGAAAATATAGGTAATATCGGGCTGGCTCCACTAAGTGTCTTGATTCAGGAAAGCATCATTGCCAACGAGTAATAAAGGCACTCACAAGAGAAATACCGATTACCGAGGCATTCGTCTATATTCTTTAACATGACCTCAAGCCTGCTGATGTCAGGTGCGGGACTACATGATTGGTATCCATGGCACAGGATTAGATTAGGTATCAATAATTGAGATTCTACGAAAACCATTCTGCCTATGAGATAGCGCAGCTATATTAGCACAATTCGGGTAAATCCATCCTTCCAAGCTTTTGCTTCGTCATTCCGTCAGCTCCACCATGTTGAATAGGAGAGTCCAGTGACATATGAGCGCGTAGCTCTTAAGAATCGCTCAAGATGCTCCCCCCTGACGAGTGTACGCGCTGGCGGCCGGCGGTCATATATTTTGCCCTGCTCCTTACTCCCCATCTAGGTATCAATAACCTAGGATGTTTGTAGGTTATTGTTATTAACCCAAGAAGCCACGCTAGATATGAAAGTCGCTAAGGTTGTGAACTTGGGATGTATGCGGGAGAGTTCCTACTAACCATTTAAGTAATAGCCCAATAATCAATCCTTGGCCAAAGGTGCGTTAGATTGAAGTAGCTCAGGCTTCCTTCCTAAGAGCATATTCAGAGAGAGCCTGTCACCCTTCTAGCGTGTGTTGAACCCCCTAGACCACCATCAGTTTTCAGTTGAGACAGCGCATCGGAAGGTAGATGATCGGTTTATACCGGCTTCCATAAGAAACCGTTGCCATGCCTCATGGTCCACGCTCCAGCCCAGCGGATACAGGAAATTCCCCCATCGAAATGGCCCAAGTATCAGGAATGTTGGTGCAAAGTGGAGCCATGGTCGTCTGTCAAAAATCGCAACAATTTCCAAATTAGGCCTTAGCCTACCCCAGGCTGCATGAGACAAAGGCAGAGTACTGCCCGCTACCAATGTGTATAATAATAGGGAGATATCGCTCACGTAACGTAATCCACGGCCGAGTGACGAATACGACCGAGTGACGAGTTTTCGTCGCACCCATCAAAATACTCAAACCAACATTCAACAACGTGTTAGATTTTCATTATGCTCATACAAAATGCCCTTATCCCAAGAAAACCACATGCAAATGGCTATCTCTGCCTATAAAACGCAACAAATTAAATCAAAATTGAAAGCTGCTGAAGTATTTGGCGTATCTAAGGCTACCCTTCGCTGTCAGCTTAAAGGAACAAAACCACACGTAGAAACATGCACTAATAGCCATAAATTAATAGCTATTGAAGAGGAGGTCCTTATGAAGAGAGTACTAGATGCAGATAAGCAAGGCTTTTCAATTTAGCCAGAGTTTCTGCGTGGAATGGCGCAGATTTTACTTCATGAATGCTCCCAAGATTCTACCGCAGTGCTTGGAGTCAACTGGGCCTATTCCTTTGTTAAATGCTGTCCTGAATTACGTGCAAGATATAATCAGAGAATTACATACCAGCATGCAAAGCAGGAGGATCCAAAAGTTATAAAACAGTAGTTTGAAACTGTACATGGAGCTATTCAGGAACATGGCATCCATAAAGACAATATCTGGAACTTTGATGAAACTAGCTTTGCAATAGGACTCTATATAACATCCAAGGTTATTACTGCAGTGGATCACAGTGAGAGACCCCATACAGTTATTCAAGGGAATTGTGAATGGGTTACAATCATTGAATGTGTGAGCTCAAAGGGGGTTTCTATACCACCAGTAGTTATCTTGAAGGGGAAGGAGCAACAGGCTACCTAGTATCAAGAACCAGTAGTTCCTCAAACCTAGTTAATTATAAAGAGTGACAATGGCTAGATAACTGATATAATAGGCCTTCGCTGGCTTAAGAGGTGTTTGAGCCATACTTATGGCAGAGTTCAACTGGTGTAAAGAGATTGCTTATTCTATAGCCATTCTAGCCACCAGACTGCAGAATTTGATGCTTTCTGCAAGGAAAATGCAATCATTTGCCTTTGCATGCCACCTTATACTTCCCACCTTCTACAGCCACTGGATGTTGGCGTTTTTGGCCTGCTAAAACGCGCATATGGGAAGTTAGTTGAAGGAATGATGGTTGCGGGAAATAACCATATTAACAAAGAAGACTTTCTGCACCTATATCCGCCTGCGCGTGAAAAAGTCTTTAATTAAAAGAATATATGTAGTGGCTTTGCAGGTGCTGATCTTAAACCATTTAATCAGGACTAAGTGCTTGAAAAGATTGCTTTTTAACTTCATACACCAACACCACTACTTCTTGTTGAAGGCTCAATCTCTTCTGCTCTCTAAACACCTCAGAATCCTCGGCAGCTAGATCACAAGGTCCGTAGCCTGCAGAGAAGTCTTCAGAAAAGGAAGCTTTCTAGCAGCCTAGTATCACATATTCAACATCTTGAAAAGGCAGCTCAAATGGCGATGAATATGAACCTTCTTCTGCAACAAGAAATTAAGGTTCTACGGGCTGAAAATGAGCGGAAGATCAGAAAGAAGGCAAGAAGGCGTGCTAATCTAGGTGATGATATCCTTTTATCTGTACAGGAAGGTCAAAATTGCGTTCAGCAGCTTGATATACCACGGAATGAGCAGGTTAATGAGTCTGCACCTGCCCCTCGCCAGCGAGCTCCACCGCGCTGTAGTGGCTGTTGGTCCATTGGACATATAATAAGAACTTGTCCTAATAAATAGCTTTTTAATTAATTACTATATAATCTAATTTAATTATATTTTGCTGTTGGAAAGCTTCAGAAACAGTATGGGTGCGACGAAAACTCGTCACTCGGTCGTATTCGTCACTCGGCCGTGGATTACGTTAGTTGCCTGAGGCCCATGCTGAGGTCACGATGTCACTGAGATGAATGTTGGCTCATGTGCGCATGTCACCGGACGCGGTGGAATTAGTATTACTCCGTATGTCCACAGCCAAGACTGGCCTTCCCCGCTACCAAAGACTTTCGAAGCACGCCCCAAGCCTCTATCGCAACGCACCTGATTGCGCGGGAATGGCAAGACTGCCGTCATCTCTTCTGTTCCATCGCCATCTAAGGTACTCCGTATATCAAGGCATCCTAGATATTCAACACTATCTTATCGCGTTTAAATTCTTGTTTGAAAAGAAGGAATTAACCTGCTTATCGCCGCTTAATACGGCGAATGCTGAATAGTACATGAACTAATAGCGAATCATTGTCATTTACTCCTTGTATTTATCGCATACATCGGACTCCCAGAAGAATGGCCTTTCATCATCAAGCCGGAGATACTAGATTCACTGTCTTCATCCGTCTTCCATTCCCTAGAGGGGACTTTGTGGACCCTCCTCCTGCAAGTGCCGACCCTGATCAAGCTTACTCTCTGACTATCTACTGACTCCGACAGGTGGAATGGGACGCTGCCAAGGACCAGGCACTCTGGGATATGCTCTCACGTCCAGCCAAAGGGGATGACATAGACTGTGAGACAAATCTATCAATATAATCAAAAACATTATCATACTAATTCTCTTACAGGGAAAGCACTGTACATCTTCCATAAAACGCAAACATCTATAATCAACGTGCTAACAAACTGGCCGCTTCCAGAGCAGATAGTTTCGATGTCACACTTCAGTTCCTCCTCCAGCAGGCAGCATGGCTTTATGACCGGCAGCTATCGCAAGTCCGCGCCCAAATGCGCAGAGTGGGCACCACCCACTCTACCTCCCCATCTCCAGCTCCTGGTTCCATGACCGGGAGCGCAGCTCTAGGAGGCCAACAGCCCAAAGGCATTTCCGCTGCAGGTACGTTCTTTGGCAACTCATTACTAGGAACAGTACGGTTAAGATCAGCTCAAGGTCAACGTGCACCCTCTCGTCTTGTCTCACAGCCAAAGGATACCTTGCCGCAGCGGAGTAAGTTTTGTCCGTACTGCTCGTCGTCAGTAAAGTCCGATTATTGATGCCCATCTGACGAACGCAGCGCCAGGTCCGCGCCGGACGAGCTCTACAACCACCATTAACCAACTAAAGAGTCAAAAAGAAACGTCTCGAAACGAAACGCCACCAGTTGACACAAAAGACACTAAATGGGAGGGATATGGACGACGCCCTTCGATAAACCGAAGGGAGCAGGCTGTGCAGGCTTTGCTGCAGAAATCTCCTACGCTTGAGGAAGAAGACCTCTCAAGTTCGGAGTCGGAGTCGGATTCCGATGGCGATGTTATGCTCAGCAGGACAGGACCACGGTTTAAGCGCTTTGGCAAACTCTCGACTCATCGGCCCGGTCTGAGAGATGACGAAGAAGACGAAGATGAATCTCCCGCCTTCCTGCCTTTGGCTCGTGAGGCGGAAGAGGCTCGACGTGAGCCCTCCCGACAAGATCTGAACGCCACACTTCGTTTGGAAGCAGAGCATGCCGCGGCCCAGCGGAGGCGCTTGTCGGAACAAGAGAGCATTACAAGAAAGCCAATCACAGCAGAGTCGTCAACAAGCTCTGTTAGCTCCGGGCCGAATGTTCCTTTACGTCAAGGAGACAGTCGTCGGGTCTTACGTCAATCAGGTGGAGCTTTCGGGCCCCAAAGGACGGCCGAACCAGCTCGATCAAGCCCTAGGAGGTCGATTGCTTCCGGTAAGGACGCTAGCGATACACCTAGCATGGGAAGTAGTTTCAGTGATCTGGACGGTAAGCTCGATCGGATTCCATTACAATTTTGGGTGTTCGCTCCTAACTATTACCTGAGCAGATGCCAGCGTCACACAGTCGGCACTTGAAGAGGCCCTAATGAGTAACATGCAACACGGAGGAATGGCAAGCCGCATGAGTACTATCAGTCAAGCGCTACGAAGCCGCTATCTGTAGACGGAGTGCTCTAGGTCAGACATTGTATGCTGTCGGGCAAGGTTGAAATACTAGTTGAATGAGCTTGTATCCAGCTCCGCATGATGTGCGCTAGATGCTGACTCGATACCTATCATGAATTAAAATACTTCTACAAACGCTCCCTACCTTCATTGCGTGAATTCTTTTGAGAGCTATCACGTGAATGCGCAACCAGCTGACGTCAGTCGGAGTGCTTCAAAGGCGGTAACAAGAGAAACCGAAGCCCTCATCATCAGCCTCGGCGCAAGCAGCTGAGAAGCCGACAACTATCTCCGTGTTCTGCAGTACCGGCAAATTAACAGGTCATATTTCTGACCTACAGTTCTCTGAATCTCGGGTCATAGGGATTCAAAAGTCGGCACATAACAAGTTTCGGCGACAGGATTGGAAGTCTACCAGGTACATTACTGATCACTTGATGTCGGATTAATGGAGGGGTATCCTGTTGGGGTCACCCGCTCAAGCTAACTGATTTCTCTGGTGGTTGAGGAACAGAGTCCCATCCATGCAGCGCCGATAACAGGCACCTTCGAGAACTTCGGGCTGTTTCTGATTCCTTTTTATTAATTCCGCCCAACCGTATTCGTTCTTTGCGAGTCATCGTACCGAGTTGAGCGCTCTCAGTCAACATCAGCCCGGAATCGTACTCGAGGTTTTAGGGGTCTTAATTTGAAGTTAAATTAATCTGCTTTGCACTGCTTAGACGGGATTGATTTCTTAGCTATAGAGTGCCGTGCGATCAATAGCCATTGAGAGAATTGGAGCAGTTTCGCAGAGAAGCCCATCGACAATGGCGGCAGCAACAACAGAGGAAATGACGCCTGCAGAGCAAGAGTCTGTTTATTTCAACAACTACCCACCTCCGAAGAACCTCCCAAAACATGAAGCCCTCGCCAGAGCTTTCATCGAATATCACACCGAAGCGAACAGGCGGCTGGTCCTGGTTACGTCCGGAGGCACAACTGTGCCCCTTGAGAACCAGACCGTGCGATTTATAGACAACTTCTCGGCTGGAACCAGAGGTGCAACTTCCGCCGAGTATTTTCTCCAAGAAGGCTACGCGGTGATTTTCCTTCACCGGCAATTCAGTCTGCTACCGTATTCACGGCATTATAGCCACTCGACGAACTGCTTCTTGGACTTTATGGATGAGGCGCCCCCATCAAGCTCGTCAGCATCTGCCAATCCAGGCTACGGTCCTATAGTGGTGCGCAGTGAATATCAGGACCAGATGCGCGACGTTTTGCGGAAGTACCGCTATGCCAAACAAAACAACTTATTATTGCTTCTGCCATTTACCACGATCTCAGAGTACTTGTTCGAGTTACGAATGTTGGCCAAGTTGATGAGACCACTGGGATCCAACGCATTATTCTACCTAGCCGCGGCCGTCAGCGACTTCTTCATTCCTCGAGAGCGGATGGCAGAGCACAAGATCCAGTCTTCGGAGCTTCCCGCACACCTGGACAATTCAAATTCTGTCGCGGGGTCGGAAATATACACAGGTGGGCTGGAAACCCAGGCAGGAAACAGCAAGAAACTCGTGATTGGTCTGGACCCGGTGCCCAAGTTCCTGCATAGACTGGTGGACGGCTGGGCGCCTGATGGAAGTATGGTTGTCTCCTTCAAGCTGGAAACCGATCCCAATCTGCTTGTCTACAAGGCGCAGACGGCGCTGAAGCGGTACTCACACCATCTGGTTATTGGCAACCTTCTCTCCACACGCAAATGGGAGGTCGTCTTTGTGACGCCAGATCCCCCCTACGAGCGCTGGATTCGGGTTCCCAAGTCGAGACGTAGCAAGAGCATCTCTGGTGCGGAAGATCAGGTAGGCCTGGCAGAGGCAAGGAAAGCGAGCGAATCGGTGAACCGTCCCGGTGGGGAAGCCCAAGAGGACAACGACCAGAAACCAGCAAGTGTTAACACTGCGGATGGAGTGGAGATTGAGAGTCTGATCATCCCTGAGTTGGTGCAGCTGCACTCAAACATGATCGCCAAACAGCAGGCAAAGCAACAGCCATGATACCTGAAGATGTTACCACAACAAAAACAATTTATAGTCCATAGATATCCTCCCGATCAAATGTTAATGTCAATGTTGACTTCATAATCTGATACAATTACTCCTTACTATGTCGTCTGGTCGTCCTTTGTCAAGTGCTTGGCGTTGACGATCTGCCCCATCGTCCCATACAATTTGCTCTGGTTGCTTTGCTTTTAACATTCCACAGCCTGCCCGGGCGACGTTTCACGGTACATTTATAATAAGGGATCACAACAGGATTGCATGTGGGATATAATGAAGAAGAGAGATAAATGACTGGCTGTGCCTAAGTCAAGCCTTGTGACAGTTTCACAGCGTGGCAGATAATAAGGCGTCTTAAAAGCAACTAACGCTGACCCCACGGTTTTCCCAGGGGTTTCAGCTGGAGGAAACGCAACACATACGCGTCATTGACGGTTGCTTAGATCCTCTTACCGTCAGTGGGCTGATCGTCCTCGCTACTACGTTGTTTTTCATCTTCTCAACCTAGGTACCGTCTGAAGCTGCTGCTTCCGTCACCAGTTCCGCCTCGTCCCTTTTCTTCCTTCCGCCTCCTTTCTAAACTCCTGCGACGGATCCGACAATATTGACCACTCAGACTAAGGAAGATATGAGGAAAGACTAAAGGCAAGACCGATGATGATCAGCAGTGTCTTTGTCAAGTTGAGCGCTCGTCCTTACTAGCGCTCTTCGTTTCGCCCTTCACCCCGTCTCAGCTGAATCTCCTCCGCACGAAGCTACAACTTATCCTCCTCCAACCCTCCCAGCTTCGGCTGCACTCATGAGAATGCTCATCCCGCTCCGCTACCGTCGTCGCATCACTCTGATCTCTGCGGTGCTCGGACTGTTCCTTATATACCACTTCATTTCGATCAGACCGAACCTCCCGCGACCGTTGTCGACCGTCCGCAGCAACTTACAGCAGCAACAACAACCAAAACAGAAGCCGGACACCCATTCCGACTGTCCTCTCCTTCCCGGCATCGAAGATGTTCTGGTTATCATGAAGACCGGCGTGACCGAAGCGCTTGACAAAGTCCCGGTGCACTTCGAGACGACCCTGCGCTGCATCCCCAACTACGTGATCTTCTCCGACTTCGAGGAAGAAATCGCGGGCGTGCGCATACACGATGCCTTCCGCAACATGGACCCCGAGGTGAAACGCACAGTTCCCGACTTCGACCTCTACAACCGGTTGCAGAAGCTCGGCAGAAAGGGTCTGGGAACGCAGGATTTCGCCGACGAGGCCAACTCAGCCATTGGGAAACCGAACAACCCAGGCTGGAAACTGGACAAGTGGAAATTCCTCCCCATGGTTCAGGAGACACTACGCTACAAGAACGACGCAAAGTGGTACGTCTTCATGGAGGCCGACACCTACTTCGCCTGGCCCACGCTGCTGGAATGGCTGTCGAACTACGACCCCCAGAAGCCGCTCTACATCGGCACCGAGACCCAGATCGCGGACGTCATCTTCGCGCACGGCGGGTCCGGCTTCATCATCTCCCGACCTGCCCTGCAGCTCGCGGCGGACGAGTACGCCGCCCGCAGCGTCGAGCTCGACATGTTCACCGACGAGCACTGGGCCGGCGACTGCGTCCTCGGAAAGGTCCTGCTGGATGCCGGCGTCCCACTAACGTATTCCTGGCCTATTCTGCAAAACTCGAACATCGGCGAGCTCGACCCATTCACAGCGGGCTTCTACCGCCAGCCTTGGTGCTTCCCCGCCGTCGCGTTCCATCACCTCTCCTCACAGGACATCCGAAACCTGTGGGAATTCGAGCAGCGACGATGGAAGGTAAGATCACTCCTCGGGCCTTGCAATGCTCAATACAGATGAACAAATGATTAACGGCTTTCCTAGTCCCACAAACGCCTCCTTCTACACTCAGACGTCTTCAAAGAGCTCATTTACCCCGAACTCTCCAACGTCCGGGACGGTTGGGATAATCTCTCCGGCGAGGAACACGTCTCCGTCAACACGTTCCAAGAATGCCAGTCTATCTGTCTCAATGATTCCACCTGTGTCCAATTCGCACTTCGCGCGGGCTCCTGTTTCACCGGCAAGACGCCTAGGCTTGGCGTGGAGAACACCGCCGTGCGATCGGGCTGGGTTATGAAGCGGATCGAGAGGATGATGGAGTCGGCGCCTTCATGTCCGAAGCCGGATTTCGGTCTATGACGTCGACAGCATGGCGATGAGATGGTAAAGGCTGAGCCTATCATCTTGAATATCCCTGTATCACTAGAGTTTGTATTTCTCTAGCTTCTCGTGCTTGCTATTATCTTTGCTATCTTGCACAGCGTCAGATTATACATTGGGCAGGCGTCTCTGGTGGTGAAGCATTGGGTTCAACAGGTTATACTATACTATTTCCATTAACAGGCATACTGTTGATTGAATCGATTCTTCGTTTCATTTCCTCATTCACACCTGTATGCAATCTCTATTTCAAAGTCGGTTTGTGTCCGATAACATGACGTGTGCCCGCATGCCTTACCCAAATCATTACGCGCAGCAGACCACTAAGGGCTGGATCCCGCGTTCAACCGACCAGCAGTGGTGGACTGCTAGGGTCCTCAAGGCACTGGTCGATCCGCATAATGGTCAAGTTCATTGCCTTGACAAAGCGAATAATCTGTGGGAAATACTTGACCGTGCTCGGCTTAAGGTAATGCATCACAGCCAGGTTGCCCCCGCGCCTCACATCTCGATAGAACGCCTCCAGCTGTCTCTCCGGAGTTTCGGTATCACCCCAGAGCCAGTCCTCAATGTCCACACTCCAGTTGACAATCTGAGGATCGGAGGTATACACTGCAAGCCGTTGTCGGGTTCTGGAGCCAATGGTTCCAAATGGTGGTCGGAAGTAGCGAGCTGCTGAAGGCTTAGTTGACATATTAGACCAAAGCTTCGTACAGGGTCACCTACACTCAACTCCCAGGAAACTCCCGAACGCTCGGATATTCCTGATGATTTCGTCGTCGATGTCTTCGATGGCTTCCAAACCTTCCATCCTTCCACCGTTGTCAGCGCTGGTAAACAGGTTTTGCAAGGGAGCTCACTTTCGATGTTTATTCGAGTGGAGAGCAATTTGATGGCCTCTCCTTAGCATTTCCCGGTACACTTGTGTGAAATTGGTCTCCTCATCTCGGAGTCCTGATCCGACAACGAAGAAAGTCACCAGAATGTTCTCCTTCTCCAGGATATCCATGACCTCTTGGGCGAAGCGTGGTTGCCCATCGTCTATGCCGAAGGCAAAGGAATTGGGCCTTGTGCATCTAAGAACCATCCTACCGTTGGCTAGCCTGTTTGGCACTCGAAGACCCATTGGAAGCTCCGGCACAATTTCTACCTTGTATAATGTCAAGCTTTCCTTTGAGTAGAATCCATTGAAGGATACCGACAAGACTCTGGATTGATCAATGTGGAAATGTGAAAGAGGCACGTATATCTCATTGCCACTGGTATACCTGGCCGCCTCCACTGAATCCCACGTCTCGGGGTATGGCTTCCGATAAGGGTCACAGTCCTCATTGTTCTGGTTGAGCGAGATGCTGAACTTGTTTGTTCCCGAAAACACAATATGAAGGTACTGGTCGCTGTAGGGGAGGAAACTGAAGCATTCCGCTGCCGCTAGCTGAGTGTGATAGTTGTGGTCGGGATCCGTCGGAAAGAATCGCACGTAATCGTCGCCATACTCAATGGGTAGACCTTCTCCCGCACCGTGCCAGAATCCGAGATTGTTCCGCCATGCGTCGCTGAAAGTATCTATAACGAGCGGTGGTTGGTGGTCTAGTCCGTTAAGCAGAGACACTTTCGTGGTGTGGCGGGTGTTGTCGTTCGACTGCAGTTCGGCATGCTGCTGGCATGGAGGAACATTTGTGTTCTGTGCGGATGTGATCGATGGGCTGGCAATAACCAGACTGATTAGGGAGAATATGCTTATCAGCCCGGTCCATTTGAGATGGCCCTGCAGATCCATCGCGGCCATTGAAGATGATGTTCTGGGATTAAATGTACTGAGCGCTTCTCAAAGGATAATGATGCTCGAAGTTCCTGAGTCCGAACAGGCGCTTGGGATAAGAAGTACGATATCCTAGGACTGTGGAGGATGGGGAGAGGAGATCAACAGGAATCGCAATGTCTGCGTCTTGTTGGTCTGCATCTACGAGAATGGAAAGAGCCAACTACCTTACGCCCCAGAAAGGGAGCCGCGCTCCCTTCCTCAGTGGAGAAACCATATAGGATACTTGAAGCGGATCTACACATACTGAACCACAAATAGCAAAGTAAGTCAAGTCATTATTCATCAAATATGTCTGTCCGAACAAGATACTAGCTAGCCATCCTTTGACGGTCCCTAGACTCCTCGAAGATCCTGCGAAAATCTAGACAGATTTATCATCGTACCCCCAGAGGTCAGGGTTGGAAGATAATCCATCAATGATCTTCACTGGACTTCCGAGGCACGGCCGAGGTCCAAAAAGACAGCCTGCCAGTAATAGACGACATACTAGGGAAAGCAAGAGTAATGTAGCTTACAGTACAGAGAACCCTGCTCCGCGCTAAAGGTATGAGATCGAGCGGCGTCAGCCATTCCCTTGCCTGGTTAAAGCGTCAACGAACAGTGATCCGGCCAGAGAGACTCCTACCCAGTCTCCGTCACCCATCAAGCGCAAGATCAACCGCGCGACAGCTCCATCGAGAGACGGAAAGGGCCAAGAAAGGGTGGACCTCTTGGTCAAATCACTCCCAGCCGGTAGAGACAGGGGCATCGTCGTTGGAGGATTCCATGGGAATGCCACCCCAGCCAGTTCCAGCATCATCGTTGTTGGTGTTTTCGTTGTCGTCCCCATCGGCAGCCTCATCATCTGTATCGTCGTCGAACTTCACCACCTCATCGGCAGGCTTATAGGACTCAAGGAAATCGGGGACTTTCTGGCCGGTTTCAATCAAGATCTTCACGAGGTCGGGGGCAATATCGGAGTTTCTGTCATTGTAGAAGGAGGTTGCAAGGCCTTCGTTGCCAATGCGTGCAGTACGTCCTGTGGACCGTTAGCTGACAGCCCAAGACAGTGTACGTAACTGATATGCTCACCAATACGATGAATATACTCGGTGATGCCACCATGGGTGGCACTCGGCAAATCAAAATTGACGACGTGCATAACGTTCTTGATATCAAGTCCACGAGCCGAGACGCCAGTGGCCACCATGATCGGGCATCTAGCACTACGGAAGGAACGCCTGTTGGGCGGATTAGCACTAGCTTCGCTTCCATGGAGAGAAGTGAACTCACAGAGCATCCTCACGTTCGCGCTGAGTCCGATCGGAATGGATAGAGGTGCTCGGAAGGCCCATGTTGTATAAAAAGTCGTCCAGGAAATCGGCCTGGGTCTTCGTGTTGACAAAAATCAAGGTCCGCGATGGCGGCATTGCCAGCAGAAGGTCGTAGAGGCATTGCTTTTTAAGATGATCCTCGGCATAGATGATCTATACATTTTCAGTAATGCTTCCGTCTCGCTTTGGGCCTTCAATTTGCTTACGGTCTGATCGACGTTTATGTGGGTGCTGCCAGGACGACCAATGCGGATACGAACATGGTCTTCCGCAAGGAATTTGCGGGCCAAACGACGACATTCGCGGTTGAAGGTTGCAGAGAACATCATGTAACGATGGTCTGCATCCTCGTTCACGTCTTCTGGCAGTCAGCATAACATTACAGAAAGGGACAAACAGTGATTTCACACCTCCGCCAGACATGATTTTGGTAAAGTCGGATTCCCAGTCGGAGAGAAGAAGCTCATCGGCTTCATCGATGATGGTATACCTTACAAAACTGATTAGTTTGAAACTATGGTTAAGAGGATATTACTTACTTGACCCGGCGAAGGGAAAGGACATGAGGCTTGTCCATAAAGTCCAGCAGTCTGCCAGGAGTACCGATGAGAATGTCACAGCCCTTCTGGAGCTCCTCACGCTGCTCACGCACGGGAGCGCCACCATAAACGACACAGGGGCGCAACATAGAGCGATAGCATAGACGACGAGCCTCGTCGAAAATCTGAGTGGATAGTTCTCTGGTTGGCGCAACGATAAGCACCAGTGGCTCGGCACGAACAGCATCGACCGAAGGATCAAAGCCGTTGGCCAAGTTAGGACGGGGGGCTGCTAGCTTTTTTGCCTTGCCCATAAGCTGGGAAAGCACAGGAATCAGAAAAGCAGCCGTTTTGCCAGAGCCTAACTCGTTGATTTTGTTATTCAATTGTGTTAGACGAGGGGTATCAGCTCTCATACTCACCCGTCTGGGCAATGGCAATCAAATCATGACCGGTAAGAACAGCAGGAATGGCGTAGGCCTGGATAGGCGTTGGGACCTCATAGTTGCACAGACGAATGTTCTCGCGCATGATAGGATGGAGACCAGCGTCGTCAAACTTGGAGTCGTCGAATAATGAGTACGGACATAGCATAGGGATGGCAACAACTTACGTTCTTGACTGGGTTAGGACGCTCTCTACTTTCAGCGATAACATCGATCTTCTGTAGGCTTCGCAGGGTCAGCTGGAAACTCCTCATTGATTAAGAAGGATATTCCCTTACTTGCCAATTTTGAGGCCAGCACGATTGATGAACTCGTTACGGAACAACATATCCTCGAGTTCTTTGTTGGGAGGACCGACATCACCGAACTCATCGTTCCATTCATACTTAGCAGCTTTGGCAGCCCACTCCGGGATTTCACTTTGTTCAGTGACCTCTTCCGGCTTCTCAGCAGGACCAGTGTTGTACTTGGCGTAGTCGTACTGCTCCGGTGGAACCCATCCCTTCTCGCGAGCAAGATTGGAAGCTTCAACGTTTTTGTTTGTCTTTTCGTCGGTCACTTCTTTGAGCGCATTGCTGATGTCCGTGACATCGAAGCTATCCATTCTGACAAGGGGATTGATACTTAGAACTCAGAAGGCGTATGAAAGCCTATAACGCGTAAAGGTGTCAGAAAATCTCTATAAAACACAACCAAGGAGGCCAATGACTCAAAGCTTGCTCGAGATATGATAAGAGGACTTGGCCACAGGGAAAGAGAAGCAATGCACGCTGAGTAGGAAATGATGATACAGGGTCATGATAAGAGAGATATGAAGAGAGAGAACAGGTGAGCGCAACAAAGCAAAGGATGAATCTCACCTAGCAGAAACCACTTACTACACTGGTAGAAGATGATCAGGAGACTATGACGATTCACACGAAGAGAGTAGAGCACTGTATGAGCTTGTTCACATAGGATAGATGAGGAGGAAAGAAGGAGATCAAATTTCTCTCAAAGAAGGATGGGAAATGGAAGAAATCAAAACAAACACAAGCTACATAGTAGAGAGCAGAGTCGCCGACTAAGCGGACCCGTCACCCAACCTGACGCGTCCTGGTGATGCGGGTCTTTCTTCTGTCAGTTGCTCTGTGTCTGTTTGAATGCGATTGTCTGCATTGCAGGCTGAAAGAAGAGAGAGCTACTACTAGAGCGTAAGATCTGGAGCAGCTGGAGGAGGCAAAGGAAGTTATAGAAGGCAATGCGTCAGTTAGGAATATAATTAACGCAGTGAGCTCTGCATCACTCAAAGAGTGGGAACCCAACTCGCTGTATGTGATCCTGGAATACTGTTCATATAGGGAAATAGAGGAATAGAAGGCTCATTATGGCTCCTCATGGTCACTATAGCTGGTTGATGCTTCCAAAAGTCTTTTCCCCTACACTGACAACCGGTATGATACATGGAAGCAGGGCAGCAGAAGGATAGAGGAGAATAGATGATCAAACCAGAAGACTGATGGTCTTGCCAAATGTTATCAACCTGCATCTGATATGCATGTAGCCTTCTGTTTCGTTTACATGCGGGTTGGCATGTCTTTGGCTTTTCTCAACAGTAATTCGATCTGTAGTCCAATACGGTAGACTCCAGGAGAACCCAGCCTGAATTCCTCGTAGGCGTAGAGCTTATCTTATGACTGGTCTGCGTCTGCTAGTATTCCAGCAAACGGGGAAGCAAACCAAATGCGGTGTTCAGTCCTGGGAGGAGAGCAATTGGCGTTACTCTCCGTCGTTCTGCTGCTCCAAATATCCTCTCTGCGCATATTCTTTGGCTTATCTTGGGCCTGGATATAACAGACAAGGAATCTGTATGAACGCTCCCGGTAAGTTGAACGGACTATGATCTCTGCTCCGTCTGATATATCCGGGAAGAATATATATAGTTACATGATGCTGCCATCAGTTGCTTCAACAGAATTGGACCGACTAGAAACAGTATCTCTAGTAAGTACGTTAAGCAGATCAAATTCTCATCGAATCTGAGAACAATTTCCACGCTGCTTATGATCGACTGAGGTATCCCGAGTTAGATTGGGGGTGGTAGTTCCCATGTGCAATCCAAGAAGCCAGGAATGTAGGTAGACGGTTTGATGCCTCAGGCCTTCGGAACAGGACCAATCAGCGATAGAGGTCATTGAACTAGTAGCGGAAGGAGATGACAACATCCTTAACATCTACTCCGTATGATCGGACGAAAATGTCGTTTACATTTCACCAACTCTCCGACAATACCCATATGGAGCTCGGTGGCAGTTACACCCACCGAAGTAAGGATTGGGATGCTCCGCGGCTCCGCCCCATCGAGTACTACCCTACTAACGCTTTGGTTCCACTCCTCAACCACCTAAAGCGGGCAGAAGGAGATATACGCTGTAGTGGTTATCACGGCGTCCCTTTACTCCGAAATGGCTCACCAGTGTTCTTTAAGCTTCTGCGGATAAGGACACTGAGCTTGTAATCACTCCCCTTTCTTACAGTTGTTGAGACTTCACCATGTCCATGTCCTCCCCAAAATCCAATTCGGTCGGCCCGGATGCGGTCGCACCTAGGCGTGTGACCAATTCATTCACAGAGCGAACCGGCCGGCTTGAACGAGCTATCACCAACCCTGGAGCTGTCAAGATCAACGTCAAAGGTGCTTTCATTGTCGACGAAGAGCCTCGTTCGAAAAGTCCCGCGTCATCGACGGACGGCGTTCACTACGAGAGCCAGGATATTCGTCTACCTCATCATACTGGCCTCGTGAGCCATGTCGCTGTCGATGTGAGTGCCTCTTTTTTTTCCGCGGTTCCCCGCAGAATCATCACCCCGCAATCTCGAACAAAAAATTAGTCGAGCACGCGCATAGATCTAAATGAAAAGGCAAATCATCTGACCTTTCTACTTTTGCAAAATATATAGATTGGAGGCTCGCTCGCGAAGCTCGTATATTTTACCAGAGAATTGGACTCTTCTGACAACGGCGGTCGCCTGAATTTCATCAATTTCGAGACTCACCGGATCGACTTGTGCATTGACTTCATCCGGCAATTGAAAGAGGAACATGAGAGGCTCAATGGCCCCTCTAGAGATGAGCTGTGTGTCGTTGCTACAGGAGGAGGCGCCTACAAGTACTACGATAAGCTGAAAGAGACGCTGAACGTGAACATCATACGGGAAGACGAAATGGAATGCCTCATAACAGGTCAGTCTACTGGATTATCTCAATCTTCGCATGTCAGAAGCGAATACTCAACCAATTCCTGCCCCAGGTCTTGACTTCTTCATTACCGAGATTCCCAATGAAGTGTTTACATACAGCGAAGCCGAGCCGATGCAGTTTGCCGAGGCCCGACCGGATGTTTACCCGTACCTATTAGTCAACATTGGTTCGGGAGTATCAATGATCAAAGTATCCGGCCCAAAGCAATTTGAGCGTGTCGGTGGTACTCACCTTGGCGGTGGCACATTCTGGGGCCTAATGTCGTTGCTGACCGGTACTCGGAACTTTGACGACATGCTGGCCATGGCGGACCGGGGCGACAACAGTGGGGTGGACATGTTAGTTGGCGATATCTATGGCATGGACTATAGCAAGATCGGACTTAAGAGCACTGCCATCGCTAGTACATTTGGCAAGGTCCTTCGTTTACAAAATGCTGCCGAGCGACATGCGGAGGATGGGGAAGGTCTCTGTAATGGCGGCCCTGAGCAACAAAATGGTGAAGTCAAGTTTCGTCATGAGGACATGAGCCGAAGCTTGCTGTATGCTATCAGGTACGTTCCTGTTTCTCATCAATGACCCACCAATGAGCAGTCGGCGCTAACAGCATTCAGTAACAACATTGGGCAGATTGCCTACTTACAATCCGAGAAGCACCAGGTCAAGCACATATACTTTGGAGGCTCGTTTATTCGGGGGCATCACCAGACGATGAATACATTGTCGTATGCCATCCGATTCTGGTCCAAGGGTGAGAAACAAGGCTACTTCCTGCGCCATGAAGGCTACCTCGGCGCTGTTGGCGCATTTCTCAGGAGGCAACCAGAGAACTGGGGGCGCAGAAATAGTATTCATGACGCAAACTCCGCGATCCAGGCGGCGAAGGAAGCCGTTCCCAAGAAAGATGAAGGTTTGAGCTCGACGTAGCTCGAGAGACCCATCTCAGCACGCCCATCCGCTTGTCTCATTTCATTTTTGATACCCGTCCATTGTCGTGTTCCCGCCTAAGTTGCTCATACATTGCAAGCCCTTCACGATCGACCCTGCTCGTTCAAACTGTCCTGTTAACTGAAGTCCAACCCTTTGAAATACTCATTGGCCATCATCTGTGAGCGTTTGTTCAGCGTCACTTAGTGTTCTCACATTTTTCTTTTCACTTGTATTCCTTTTCCGCCGGGCTCATTGAGATTATGTTGAAGTGAGACCATCCGGATCTCTCACCTGCTCGTCACCTACCTGCATCCATACAGTTTGGCTATCCTAGACATTGCTTCCACTATCACTACAGTTATACCTATCCTGCTCACCTACTGCCTTTGCTATCCTTATTTGGGCTGCTTGATTTTGAAATAGACTTTTAGCATACCTGCTTGATGACATAGAGGGAACCTAGTGTCTTCTGAGGCTGATATTACCAGATTTTAATTTATAATGACTCTTGCTTCATGAATGTTCGAGCGCCAAGGTGGCCATGACCTCTTTCGTGTGTACTTGAGCAGCAATATTGAAAAGGTGTGGCATGATATTGTGATTGATCTCACTTCTCTTCCTGATCAGTCTTCTACCGAAGCCCCTTGCAGCTCCTAGGGTAAAATCCTTGTCTTACTAAGAGATGGGCTGAACTTAGTTAACTACTGTAACCTGTACAGTCAGCCATGAGTAGTAACTACCTTAGTGGATTTCAAATGGTTGTGCATGAACATAATCACCTTAATGCAGATGCTTATTTTTAAAAGGGCAGATAATGGATGACTGTATAAACATCAAACAAGAGTCTTCTTCAACAACAGCAAAACTCTTGTTCAGAATCGAAACACTCAATTTCAGTTTTCAGCAGACTGGGTATTATTTTTAGGCTACATACTCTGGTATGTAGTGCGTACTAGGTATGTAGCTTGCCGAATCCCTCGGCGTTAGCACCAGACTTAGCCAAACTAACCACTAATCAAGCCAACTGGACCAACTGGTCTATCTGTATCAATTTAATCAACTTTGATGAGATATCAAGGCTTGAACCCCCACTGATCTTCAAGACGGTAAGCTAAACTGTATCCGTATCTAGGGGTAATTGTCAGGCACAGACCTACCTAGCTCCATAAAGAAAAAGGTTACGCAGGACTAAGCTGGGCCAATCACTCACACGCCACCTTGTGGGGATGGGGCCTCTTTTGCTTTCAGTTGGAGCAACTACCTGAAGTAGAAGCAAGTCACCTAAGTCTGTTTGTTCTATGCCGGAACCCGGCAACTCTTTCTCCTTTTCGTCAAGTACATCCATTTTTCTTGTACACTCTTCTCTCTCTCATATACCTTGTCGTCTCTCTTCTCAATCCGGCGGCGCGGTATTTTCGTCCAAAATCTCTAGTCGACAAAGCCCTTTGAGCTTCACCGTAAACATGGGGGACCAGTACGTATCACATTGCATGTATACGCGTAAGGCCAACGCGTAAGACCAGACGCGTTAATATCTGTACTTGCTATTCTAGCTCTACGGAAGCAATAAATGTTCACTCCGAGGACGAGCGGAAACCTTCACTATCCGCCTTGGATGCGGATGAGCAGGCCACGCGTCGGACAATTATGATCAAGCCTCTACCGGAATTCGGTCCAAAGCGACCGATGCCCGACCACCTCGTTGATATCCTCGAGGAATGGCACAAGGAGAATGGACGTCAGCCCCCGCACTGCGCATATGCAAACAACAGAGGAACGTACAAGTGGAAGGTCTTTGACCGGGAGGGCAAGGAGTTGGAACTTTCAAAATTCGAGATTGTCTCTCCCTGCCCATACTACGTCCTTGTGCTGCATTCGCCTGACTTCCCGGAGAAGCTGGTCAGAAGCCGTTGGCCGCACGGGACGAAGTACGGAAGTTTCCTGATCGCGTGGCAGGGTGTGGCCAAAGGATTCGAGGCCAAATGCTGTGCCATTCGTTGTTTCGCTCCGAAACTGGAGGAGATCACTTACACTCAGGATATCTGGAAGGTCCCAATCCCCGATCTGGACCGAGAGGGTGAGGGTATCAAGGAGAAGCCACTGTCAGTAGCGGCGGCTCCATCTCAGCCGCGCGTACGAAACAGGGCACAAGAGCGGGAGCGAGAAAAGGAGCCGGAAAAGAGGAAGAGGGTGAGCCGCCCCAAGCGCGAGGTCGCGACCAGCAATCCGAACTCTGGGGATGCTTCAGAGTCATCTGATGAAACGGACTCGTCGGCTGAGGAATCCTCCGACGCTTCATCATCGTCCGAAGAGGAGGAAGAGGAAAACGTCTCTTCACCAATGGCAAAGAGGCGCAGGCTCCAACAACAAACATCTAATTCTCTAGCAAGGACACGCAAGGCGACCAACCCGGCCAAAGCAACAAACACGGCCAAGGTGACTTTCAAGCTTGTCTCCTACAGATCGGGCGCTATTCGCGCCTTTCCCCTAAACGAATGCAAGACTGGGAAAGATCTCTTCGAAAAGGCACGGGCATTTTTCCGACTATTCGACAGAAACGTCGATGTCAAGATACTTTCGTGCCAGATATCGTCTGAGCGTGCACAACATTTTCTTTTCGGCAGCGAGGGCGAATTTGAGCTTCTCATTCAACACGCCAAGGACAGCAAGAGCACAGAAGATGGAACAGTTACCATTGAAGTGAACCATGTTTTGGAACCTTGAGGAGGCCGCCTTAGAACTCATTTGTTTCCTATTGCATAAGGTCATGGGATATCCGGGTTTCTCAACGATAAAGGAATGGGCTCATCGAGAAACCATATCAATCAGTTTTTCTTCAAAGTATTCTTTAGCCAGTTGCTTCAAAGTACATAATACTATTTCATGGATTCATAACGCAGAATATACATCAGGCTGAAATCATTGAAGGAATCATATCAATAGTTCTAGTGGGATAATTTGAATATCTGCACTTGTGGAAAATGTATTCGTCTCTACTGGAGATGTCCTGGCCTGAGGCTGGGACTAGGTTGCAGTTGATGCCAGAATGACTAATTAACCACGTGGGCTTGCGCGTCTCCGGTCAGTTTGGCCTCGTTTCCATCCCTGAAGACCAAGCGAGCTTTCCTTCAAAGAAACTGCTACTAACCATGCTCCAAGCATGAATTCAGCGTCTGCTCGATGCCTCCTCCACCCGGCTCACCTCCCCCTATCCCTCCGCCCGTCCCAGTTGAGACTCACCCCAACCGGACAAGCAGCTTGAAGCCTCCACCGGAGCTCCGCGCGCTCCCAGACCCAACACGGCTCGCTCCAGAAGACGCCTATTTCTCATCTGCTCATCTAAGAGGTCGGACGGCGAATGCAAACTACGATGACTCACTCCGAGCGCTAAACGGCAACGCTGCTGCTTTGCGACCGCAGCCCGCGTATCCGGGCGCGGACAGTCGAAAAGAGCGCAAAGTGAGGGGGCCGAGCAGACGGAGGAGACGAAAAGGGGCATGGAAGAAGTTACTCTGGGTGAAGCAGTCATGTAAGCGTTGACAGAAATTTTATGGGTGTAATATCCGATTGCCAGAAGGCTGAAGAAGCTGACGGGCATGGCCACAGATCCGGACAACTACACCGACACCGAAACCTTTCTCGACCATCTCCAGCGCAACCCGCGCGTGCGGCCCTACGACTTCTGGCCTCTAGTGGCTGACTCGACAGTGATTGTTCAGCATGTGTGCTCGGTGGCGATTTTCGTGTGCTGTTTTGTTGGGATTGTCCAGGAGAGAGTGAGCCCTGTTTCTGTTGTCTGCTGGGGCAGTGTTGGAACAGCCATGGGGTGGATTCTGTGGGACTCTTGGGTTTGGAGAGAGCATCATGCCAAACAGGCTCAGAATGCGGAGCGCATCGCGGACGGAGACGATGGTTCCAGTTCGAGCTCTGCAGCGAGCTCGGTCAATCCGTCGTCGGGGGCTGCGTCGCGACCGGTTGGCCCGAAGGATGGTCAGAACGAGGTTCATGGTCTGGGACTGACCATTTCCAGCGGTGAACCTTGCGGATTGCTGCGGCGACGTAGCACAGGACTCAGTGGTGAGGCTTATGGCCCGTGTGATCCTGGCTCGCCTAGTCACCAGGCCAATGGTGGCCTCAGCAATATGCATTTGCATCATGGCTCCCAGGAGACCGACGAGACTTTGTTACTCTCGTCAAGGAACCGCCAGCGACTTTCGACTGTCAAGTCAGCGTTCCTGATCTACTTTTCGCTGCTTGGACTTAGCCCTATCCTGAAATCGCTTACCAAGTCTACCGCCAGCGACTCCATTTGGGCAATGAGTTGCTGGCTGTTGATCATGAACATATTCTCCTTTGATTACGGAAGCGGGGAAGGCGCGGGCGCCACCAAATTCCCGGCTTCGCTGTCCACTAATGCGGCTGTGATGGCATCGACTGTCCTGGCGTCTCGTCTGCCGTCTACAACCCATGTCTTCAGTCTGATGTTGTTCTCGATTGAAGTCTTTGGACTGTTCCCCATCTTCCGCCGGCAGCTACGGCACACCTCCTGGACTGGACATGTCCTCCTCACGCTGGCGCTGGTCATTGTGGCTGGAGGTGCGGTCGGAATGACCCTGCGCGGAGGATGGACCGCCGCGGTGGTCGGGTCGTTCTTAGGGAGTATCATGACTGCTTTTGCCATGGGGGGATGTAGCTGGTGGCTCATCAGTCTTCAGAAGTACAAGAACGTGGTGACAGGGCCATGGGACCCAGCGCGGCCGATTATCCGGCGACAATGGGATTAGCTCAATGCGAGACTGCGTGAATTTGGGAACTGGCCTTGAGCCCGTGTCTATGATGCAATTTATTCTGTGATATTCTCATTTGAGCTTATCGTGGTGTTCTGGCCCCGAATACGATACCCTTTGGCGTTCTACTTGATGTTTATATTCAGTACCTAATACTCTGTAAGGACCATAATCTCGTGACAGGCTGCACAAGCCAGTTCTTCAGAAGTACAGCGACTCGACAATGATTTATAATGACTCGTAGTTTCATGCTCGGCGCACTGTTCCTCCGTCTTGCGCGTCGAATACCGCAACCCCAGGAATGTTTGGCTGTCAAGCATGCCAGAGGCGGAGGCTACTGTTTTGAGAAGAAATCCATCTGGATAGCAGTGGAAACAACAAAATCCGGATTCGATGTCAGCAGCATTCTTGCTTCAAAGGGTCTGGAAGATGATTCCTATCATTGCCTTGGGGCTGGATGTCTCATCATCATGTGCTGTCTCATGGTGCCTCACCTTCTTGCATCTGACATCAGATATTTCTAATGGGAAAGCATATTTGAATAACTTGCATTGGGGCCGGATGCCTAGGAGACATTCTAGCTTCTCCACTGTATCATGCTGGGGCCGGGAATGTTTATTATGTTGTTGCTCTGTGTTGTTGCTGATGGGGCGAAGCCGTCAAAGCCACCATGAAGGGGCTGCTTGTATATTAGCTTCAGGATATAACTAGCTCTCACAAGTTGTGCATCATTTTCTTTTCTTTGATATTCCCCTCTGAGGGATTTTGCCAAGGTTGGGCACCTCAGAGCCGTCGGTCTTGTCTGGTTCGTTTCAGGTTGATTTGTCCATCCTTCAGTCTATTCGGTGGGCTTCTTCTTGTCGTTCATTCTTCCTTTTCGACACTCTTTTCATCAAGTACTTTTCATCTCAATTCGATCAACGCAAAGATGCTCAAATCCCTTGTGTTCAGCCTGGTGGCTGTCCAAGCGGCAATGGGCTTGAGATTCGCCATGTACATCGATCAGTAAGAAGCCTACCTAGACTTCCTGCACCCAACGCAGGAACAGATTGACGCGATGAGCTGACGATTCAGGTACCACACTGTTGATCTCCCAGGTAGCGACCAGACCCAGGGCGTTACACACGCCATCATGGCTTTCGCTCCATCTAAGCAGTTCAACAGCGACTCTTCGTTCACTCCCTTTGACACTGTCGAGAATATGCGTAAGCGCTTCGCCCCCGACACCAAGGTTATGATCGCCATTGGTGGATGGGGCGATACCGCTGGCTTCTCCGAGGGAGCCAAAGATGAAGCCTCTCGAACCAAGTATGCGAAGAACGTTGCAGCGATGATAAACAATCTGGGCTTCGACGGTGTTGGTAAGTTCGAAGTTGCGGTATGAAACACTCACATAAACATGCAGTGCTCACACTAGCTGATGGTAGATATCGACTGGGAATACCCCGGCGGCAACGGCGACGACTACAAGAAGGTCCCCAACTCCCAGAAAACCGGCGAGATTGAGACGTACCCGCTCTTCCTGCAGGCCATCCGCGACGCCATTGGCAAGGACAAGATCCTGTCTGTTGCAGTCCCAGGTAAACGCGGCGACATGATTGCCTTCACAAAGGAACAAGGACCCAAGATCTGGTCGGCCGTCGACATGGTCAACGTCATGTCGTATGACTTGATGAACCGCCGTGACAACGTGACGAACCACCACACCGGCGTGGCCGGCTCTCTGGATACCATCAAGGCGTACGAGGAGATCGGCCTCGACCCGGCCAAGATGAACCTGGGATTCGCGTACTATGCCAAATGGTTCACGACTGATCCGAACAGCGACTGCGCCGAGCAGCCGATCGGATGTGTCGTCGTTCCGCTGGAGAACCCTGACGGATCGGACCCGGGCAAATCTGGCACCCTGACCTTCGAGAAGAGCACCATGGCTGCTCCCCCGGATAACCTGAGGACCAGCACGGATGGAACCTGTGGCTATGGCAAGGGGACCAAGTGTCCGTCTGGATCGTGCTGCAGTCAGTATGGAAACTGGTATGTTTTCCCCCCTAACTCAACTCTACTAAGACGCGTCTGGGCTTGGCTAATCCGAACAGCGGCACCGGCGATGACTTCTGCCAGGCAGGCTGTCTCTCCGACTATGGCGAGTGCAAGGGCATTTCCGTTACTGATTCCTGGCGCCGCGCGCTCAAGGACGGCAAGACGGATGAGGAGGCAGGCGGACAGTACTACTGGGACAGCACGGCCAATCTCTTCTGGACCTGGGATACTCCTGCGATAATCGACCGCAAGTTCAAGGATATCGTGGATGCCGAGAAGCTGGGCGGTGTCATGGCTTGGAGTCTGGGTGAGGATACTCTGAACTGGGAGCATCTGAAGGCGATGCAGAACGGCCTTAGGCAGTAGTCGGTACTCGGCACTTCATACTTTGTGGCAGCAGTATAGCCATGTTTCAGGGTTAATACCATTACAATTTAAATGCGCTTTAAACCGTTGACCTCTGTCGGATAGTAGACAGTCCGTAGAAGTGAAGAGGGTCCGAAGCAGGTAGAAGCATTGACCAATCCGGACGCGGGATGCGGCACGGGGTCAGGATGGTGGCCGCCATTCCATCCGCAAACATCAATGATGCAGAGACCAGCAGCACGCCTCATGTCGCGTTAAGCAGTTTAAGGGGACCTGGACCTCAAGGCGTGCAGGATGGCATATCCATCTTTCTCTCCAGCAACCGCGCTGCCACGATGAGACTCGTCTGCCTCCTTCTCCCCCTCAGCCTGGGGCTACCAATCACCATTCCCGTCGAAGGCACGGAAGTATACCAACTCCAACACCAAGAATATCACCGACAGCAACAGCAACAACAACTAACAATCCTCGCACAAAACCACTCAGAGCAGGACCAACCTCAAACCCAACCTAGCTCCAGTTCCCACGGCTCATTCATCAACCTCAACCTCAACCTCCACAAGCTCAAGCTCAAGCCCAATAACCACCACCAAAACACTACCAATCAACCAACCGACAAAATCCTCCAAGCATACCTCCACACCCTACGCGCTTCCCACCTCTGCGCGCACATCCTCTCGCAATACGCTCCCGAGCTCCTCGCCCTCGCGCTCTTCTCCCTCCTCCCACTAACCCTCTGCATCCTTGCCCTCGCAGAGCGCATCGCCCGCTCCTGGACTGTCGAGGCGTATCCCGAGCGCGGGCGCGACAGACGCCGGTTTCTGGGCCGGGAGAGGCGGTGTCTGATGCAGGCGAGGAGGGAGAGGGAGAAGAGGGCTGTGCTGGAGAGGGGGTGGTGGATTGCGGAGCGGAAGCGTTGATTCAGTTCAGTTCAATCGGTTTTTGAGTTTTTGTCTGACCCTGGTGACGATACCAGATGGGAACATGACGCTGGGGGCTAGGCTGCGCAGCGCAGATTAACTGAACTCTTGACCTGGGAAAAGCTGATTGTTTGGTGATGGTGATGGTGATGAGGCGGTTCGTGGATCGAACGAACGAGGATCAGGATGGCTGGTCCATCTTGGTTATCCCGCTCAGAGTTGAGTGAGATTCGATATGAAGACGAATATCAGACGACCAACAATGTACAGTTTATCGTATGTATAATACACTTTACATAATATACCCATACAGTTAAACCCGGCATAACCGGCCGTTCTGATCTGGCAGCCCATCCTCACTCTCCACAGTCCAGTCCTCACTACCGACAGCCGTAGGGGCATAGAACAATCCAAACGGATCATACCGCTGCTTCAGCGTATAGAGACGCGCGTAGTTCTCGCCATAGAACGCTTGCTGGAAGTCCGGCTCGAGGATATCTGCCTCAGACATGTACGCCCCTGCGTCAGGGGAGGTAGCTCGCCATTGTCCCAGCACATTGTTGCTGAAATACTTCATGGTATCCAGGATCTCAGCGTTGGTGGCATTGCTGGCCCAGCTGGTTGAGGTGATGGCGTGCATGAGGGTGTTGCGGAAGGCCGGGTTCGCAGAGCTGGCCGGGTAGCCGTCGGGCAGCTCGGCCTTGAGGTTGTATGCGAGCATGGGGTATCCGGCCTCGATGGTGGACTTGACGGTTTCAAAGGTGGTGTTGACGAGAGTGGCGTTCTCCCAGTTCGCACGGGGGAAGAGCCACGAGCCGGTCATCATCGTCGACGAGGCGACTGTCTCCAAGGGGAAGCCAGCCTGCCAGGCGTCGTAGAAGTTGTCGTAGTAGGTCGAATTGGGGGCATAGGTGATGCCTAGCTTTTCGAGCTGGTCGTACCAGGGCTTTATAAGAGCGTGAAACTCCGCGACAGTGTGGTTCACGGCAAAGTAGGGGCTCATCAGGAAGGTGAAGGTGTCGGTACCTGTGGCCATAACCCAGAAATAGGCGTAGGTGCCTGCGTCGGCATTGACGGCGAACCGGTCAAAGTAGGCGCGCACACCGGCCCAGAAGGCGTCGACGGAGACGTTGGTGCCAGTCGAGAAGGAACCGGTCGACACGGTGGCGCCGACCTTGGGGTGGACGAGCGAAATGATCGAGACGACCACACCATAGGTGCCTACCACGTTAGTATGGAAACTCTTCCGAGAGACAGAACGGGACGTACCTCCACCACCTCCACGCAAAGCCCAGAACAAATCGGGATCAGTCTCCTCGGTCACGGTGACGAAGCGACCATTGGCAAGAACTACCTCGAGGGCCAGGACTTGGTCCGCAGCCAAGCCGTAGATGCTGGACATGGGGGAGTGACCACCACCGAGGACGTACCCACCGGCCACGCCAACAGTCTATCCTTCTGTCAACGACGAGTCACATAGTACCACGAATGAGCTTACCTTGCACTCGCCACCAACGGCAGTGAACCCGAATTCCTTAGCCTTGCTGTAGATCTCAAACGCCTCAACACCGGCCCCCATCTTGACAGCGGGACCGCTGTAGCGAGAGCTTTTGTAGTTCTCAATGTACTCAATATCCTTGAGGTTGTGGGTCCAGATGCCCAGGGCACCAGCACCGGTGGACTTGCCGTTGAAGTCGTGGCCGGTGTTCTTGACGACCAGACGGATGCCGGTGTTGCGCGCAAAGTTGACAGCCAACTGGATCTGAGCCACGTTGCTCACATTGACCGCGTAGCTGCTGTAACCACCGACGGTGCAGTTGCCAGAGGGGTCATCGGTAGGCAGACAGGTTCTGCCCTCGTACAGTGGCCACATTATTGATGCGGGATCGGCAGCACTGCCCAATCAGCCAGGAATCTTTGTGGATGAAAAGACAGAACTTACTGCATGTACGAGTTGGTCCAATTGGACGTGACGGCCTCGCATTCCGCCGCATCGTACTCGGGCCACGCGGAATAACAAGAAGCAGCCAGAGGGACAGTCTTGACAAGTGCACCGCCCACAAGCAAGTCAAACAGCTCCCAGGTCCGCTTGGACGGCCATAGAATATCGTTAGGGAAGACCTTGCAGAACTTGACACCGCGAGCGGTCAGATTAGCCGAGACAGAAGCATTGTTACCAAATGCAAAGAGCTGGGTCTGGTTTTGAATGGCGGAGCTGAGGTTGGCCAGCACCGCGTCAGTCAGCTGCAGAGTCTCTGCGGGGAAGAGATGCGCCCCCGCAGTCGTCGAGTTGGAGGACACGGACTGAGCAGCGACAAGTGTCGCCGTGGATTCGGCCGTACAGAAGTTGCAGAGAGCAAGACCCACAATGAGGATGCCCCTGAGGGAGAACGGGTGACAGGGAGCCATCTTTGGAGTGATTGAATGGACGGTCAGCAACAGTGACCAAGTCAGGGATCAAAGACTGGTATTTGAAGACGGGGATGATGCTCAACCATTCAACAAGAGTGTTTAGGCACACCGGATAAACTCTGCATGGAGTATCTATGCCGTGTCAGCCATCACTATGAGGTGGACTTGCAGGAGGAAGAACCCGGCCACCAGTAGTATGCAGCATGGCTGGACTAATTCAGCAATTTGACCAGTAAGATCAATGCTTCGAGTCAGGTCATAGTTTCTGATAGGCAGCAGGGAACCAGAATCGTTAGTAGATAGATAGGTAGATAGATACTAAAGAGGTGAACAGATGGCGAGTAGAAGTCGAGAGGAGACGAAACGTCTCGACCCTCTAGGTTGATAGTGATGCGCCTCAGGTTACAAGCCAAAGCTTGTATCTCCACTTGAGGCATTTAGTAAACTCCGGAGTAATTGAGATAGTTAAATACCAGTGTCTGCTCCTCGCTGTCCTCTTCGCCGATATCTTCCAGTGCAGTTTGATCGTACGTGTGTATGACACCTCCATCGAGGAAGGAGAGAGCCTTCTATGTCACCACCGCAGCGCTCAACCTCTTCACCGACTTTCTCGGCCTCTCCGTCCCCATTGTAATTGTCGTTTGCATCATTCCCTGCTTTGATGGGGTGTAACGTCTTTGACAGCATCTACGCAGTTGAAACGACTCAATCCAACTGCAGCGATTCAACCCAAAATATCGGCTTCCGTATCACCGCAATCGAAGTCGCCAATCGCCGATTGCTGCATTCTCACACCTCCAAAAACCAAGTCATTCTCGGCAAATACTCCTCTCCTCGGCACCTCCAAGGCGGCTCGTCTAAGTATTGAGCCATAAGCAACTAAAGCCGTCGGTTCCAGTCAGGTTTAAGCTTCTCTCGGACCAAGTCCGCCCGCGGCACGCACGACGGGTTCGACCTGGCGGATCCGTACCAGTCAAGCGGATGGAATCTCGGCCGCGAGCTGCACAATTACAGCAGACACCAGACACCAGACACGGCGATAAGACCAGCCTTAACAGCGATGATGGAGCAGCGGAGATTGTTCAGACGATCGACGTATCGGTGCGCTATAACAGACGGGAAGAAGAGAACCTGGTATCGCACTCGCGCGAGGGAAAAATGCACGAATCGACATTCTTGTCTAAGTCCTCTTCTCCTATGTCGATGCATATATAAAAATAATGCCATACTACAATGTCTGCATGATAAACGGCTACACAGGATCACAGCCGAGTTACTGCCGATAAGTGCGGGGTCAAATGGGTGCTGCTGGTGATAAAGTCGCACAGAGCCCCTCATCGCTGATCTTTTCAACTCACCTTCTTCTGCCATCAAATAGGTAACATGTCGAAAATGGCAAAGACGTATCAGTTGCCATTCAAGGTATGCGGCTGTACCAAATCAGCAGCTTGCAATGACTAACTTTCTTCAGCTTGAAGATCCCAGTCTTCTCCATTTCGACTCCTTTGTCGGAGACAAATGGGTTCAGGCTAAAAGTGGGAAACGATTCGAAGTCGTGGGTAGGAACAGACTATTCTCCTCTTATTGAGCCTACGGTAACATCAGTATAGACCCCGGCTCCGACACACCCTGGGCCAGTTGTCCTGCCAATGGCGTGGAAGATGTGAATCCCGCCGTTCAGGCCGCCCACGAAGCGTTCGAAACCTACAAGAAGACCAACCCCCGGCAGCGCGCCCAATGGCTCATGAAATGGGACGCTCTCATCCGGGAGGCGCGGTCCGACCTCGCCCAGATTCTCACCCACGAGACGGGGAAACCCCTCGCCGAATCGTACGGGGAGATCGACTACGCCACGGGCTTCACCTGGTGGTTTGCTGGTGAGGCGGAGCGCATCCACGGCACGATCAGCGTGCCCTCGGCGCCCAACCGTCGCGTCTTCACGGTCAAGCAGCCCATCGGTGTGGCCGCCGCTCTGGTCCCCTGGAATTTCCCCATCGCCATGGTCCTGCGTAAAGCAGGCGCCGCCTTCGCCGCCGGCTGCACGATGATCGTCAAGCCTAGCCCGGAGACTCCCATCACGTCGCTCGTGCTGGCGCACCTAGCGCAACGCGCGGGTTTTCCAGCAGGCGTGTTCAATGTGCTGACCACCGACCTGGAAAACACGCCGTCGCTCAGCGAGGCGCTTTGCAAGCATCCGCTCGTCAAAAAGGTGACATTTACGGGATCCACGCGCGTCGGCAAGCTGATCGCTGCGCACTGCGCCGAGGGGCTGAAGAAGGTGACCCTCGAGCTCGGCGGGAACTGCCCCTTCATCGTGTTCGACGATGCGAACCTCGACCAGGCACTGGACCAGCTGATGGCGCTGAAATGGCGGCATGCAGGCCAGGCGTGCATCACTGCCAACCGTGTGTACGTGCAGGCAGGGATCTACGATAAATTCGCACAGATGCTCAAGGAACGCACGGAGAAGTTGGTTGTCGGCCACGGCGCGCAGCAGGGCACTACCATGGGCCCCGTCACGACACCGCGGGGCCTGGACAAGGCGCTGGCGCAGGTCGAAGATGCGCGCCGCTTAGGCGCGGACGTCA